GGGATGTTCTTTGCATTTGCTTTTGATTTGAGTGGGTGGTATTTCTCTTCTCTGTCAAGAGAACATCTATAAGTACCTTTTGTAGGGCAGGTCTGGAAGAGGAAAATTCTTTGAGCTTTTCTTTGCTGTAGAAAAAAATTATTTTATTTTCAAAGACATATGAAAGCTTTGCTCTGTACATTATCCTGGGTTGGCCTCAGTTGCTGCAGCCTGTTCTGTCCCAGCCTACCCCCAGTTCCAACTCTCACTAGTGGGTGTTGCAGCCTTGCACTGCACCCATCTCCAGTTCTCATGCAAACAGATGGGTACAAATTATTAATCTAGTATGGCCCACACCATGTTTTGGCCTCCCCATATGCCAGTTTGTGCTACAGCTTGGCCTAGTGCTACCAGGTCCATCCTGCTAGCCAGCTCACATACCTGATGACAAGAGGAGCAGCCCTGTCTGATCTGGCCCAAACCCAGCCCCAACTCATGTGCTCACCACTGGGAGCCTAGTGGGGAGTTCCCCAAGTATTCCCACCAGGTCAATTCTAAGACATGACTCTCACACATGTCAGCAGGTGCCAGGGTTCTGACCAGCACACTTCATCCACAGGTCTCAGCCTTTGTGTGCTGAAGGATACTGCATCTTGGCCTACCCCACACCCAATTTTTAGGTGCATCTGTGGGTGCTGCAACTTGAACCAACCTGGCTTACTCTGAACCCCAGTTCGCATGGGTGTTGGTAAGCCCCATGATCATGCCTAGCTTGGCCATCACTACTCCCAACTCACACAAACTAGTGGGTATTGTAGTTCCATAGGGATGAGCGCACAAATTCCCCACAGAATCTGCCCCAAACCCAGTTCTCTTGCATGCCAGTTAGTGTTGTGGCCCAGCCTAAGGTGGCCCACCCATTGCCACAACACTGGCAGGTTCTGTGGCCTAATCCTCCACCCTACCCTAAGCCCTATAATTTTTTGTTTTATTAATTGCATTGCATTATGTGACACTGTGTTATAGGCACTGGGATTCCCCCCACCCCTCCCCAAACCTTCTCCCCATGGTGGATTTATCCACCTTGTTACATTACCACAGTTCAAATTCAGTTGAGGTTCTTTCATTGGAAGTATTTATCAAGCATAAAGTCCAGCATCTTATTGTCCTAATGAGTTCAATGAATTCTTGGTGAAACCATCTCTGGTCTGAAGGTAAAGCCAGCAAAGTATCATCCCAATCAATTAAAAGCCCCAACATAACATCAACAACAATTTACAACATTATGGCATTAATTGACATGATGTTGATTAACCAGTATGTTAATAGAAAAATGCAGGTTCTTAACTACATCCTGTGACTTCTTCATAGACATTTCAATTTTAGTTTATGTTCAGCTGGGTTTTATACACCTCAAAATGGCTATAGATTACTATTTAGCTGTCTCATGTCTATTTTCATTTTAGTATTTAGCTGTTTATAGTGTTGAAGCATGATTTTGCTGAACTTGGTTGTTTTTCAGATGGTCTGAACTGGTTTATAACTCTAGCAAGACATGTGTCCTCACTTTAGGTACATAACTTTTTTTTTAGGAGGGGTGTGCAGAGAAATCTCCAATACCCCAGTGCCGCGTAACTAATCTTTGTGTCCCACCTAGTGAGGTATGAGTGAATCCACGCTGACCATTTCCTGTCTGATTCTATGCTTTGCTTGTTGTTGTCTGTCTATTCTAGGTTTTTTGTTTGTTCGTTTGTTTTGAGGGGTTTCTGGAGCAATCCTAATGGTGATCGCGAGAGAGGGTGGGGACCCAGAGCTTGAGCCAGACAAGGACCAGAGAAAGCTTGCCTCCCTAGTCCTGAAGGAAGTTTATTATTCTTCTGTTTCTGCAGACTGCTCAGGGCTCCTAGTTGTCATTGCAATTACGCTGGTTTCTGCATGGCAGAGTTTGGACTTCTTCCATCCCCCGTGGAAGCTCCAGTTGGGGGTGGATGACCTCAGAGTTCTTGGCCTCCAAGGGCACTCCTATTCCCTGTGATATCCTTGGCAGTTGGGATGTAGTCCTTGGTGTCCGTACTGATAGTCCTTGGTGAGGATCTGGGAGTCTTCAGGGTTGGGATACTAGCCTCCTCCCGTCCACCTGCTCTACTCTGGGGTCTCAACCCCCCTGCTCCATATCCTCGACCTCCTGTTAGAGGCTGTCAGGATCGCTCCTGATTCCCCCCTTATGCCTGTGTAGCTTTACTATTGTCTAGTGCTGACTCGAGTCTGTTGTCTATGAGTTACCAGATTTGATCCTGATAGACTATATTTCACGTCTTCCTCACAGTTTTTAGGGAGATGGGAAGATTTTTCTGCATTCCCTCCCCATTATGGCATAACATAGGGTATTAAGAGTGTTTTAGGTTTTACAGTTCTTTGATGTAGATCATAAGCAGTCTGACTCACATTAATTGTTGATTTATAGATTACAACAGGTTATCTTATTGCATTGGATACAGGTTGTCAGAGATTGCAATAATATTACAATATACAGGTACTATTTTCCAGATTGACATCTTTTCATCTCAAATTAAGGCAAACATGTGGTATTTATCCTTTGGGGATTGGTTCATTTCTCTTAGCATAATAAGCCCTAGCATTCTTGTGGGCCAGTGGGCTGTGATCAATGCCAGATAACCCAGCCCAGGTCTCCCACATGGGTAGGTGTCCTAGAGTTGTTCTTATACACAGTGAGAGACCCTTCTTAATGTTCTTATACACCTAGGAATCTTCTCAATAGTTCTGTAGTTTCTTATGATGGTAAGAAATTTTATTGCAGAACTAAGGAGACTGGTCTTCATTATGATTAATAGAGAACCACTCTCTGTCCTTTCTTTGAGTATGTGTGTGTGTGTGTGTATCAGTTTGTATAATCATGTTCAAGGTAATACTCATAGCTGGGTAAATGTGACTTAAAAGCCTTTCCATACCGTATATATTCCTCACCCTATGAAGATATGGTTTATGCTTTGATTTGTCTCTGTACCTATTTTATTATATAGGGTGTTGCTTTTAGAAAAATGATCTTTTACCTTCATAGGCTGTATGTACTTTATGCCACTCCACAGAGATAAAGGGACAGTGGGATGGAGGAGTCAGTAGTGAAAAAAACAGGTGCTTAGAAAATGGCAGTATCAGGAAAACTTATAATGGAACTGTATGTTTTCCTGACCTTGGTGATAGATGCAGGGTGTTTAGGCATATGTGATGAAACTTCATTGAAATACACACGCACACAGAGGAATACAAGTAAAACTGGGAAATCAGAATAAGACAGGTGAGCTTGAGTATTTGGTCCCCACTTGGGATGCCTGCATCCCATATCATAGTGTGTGGTTCAAATCCTGGCTACTCCATCCCCAACATTTTGTTAATGACACCTGGGGAAACAACAACATGTGGCTCAAATACTTGAGTCCCTACCATCTGTGAAGGATAATCGGAATAAATTCTTTGAAGTTCATTCTGTCAAGGAAGAAACATTTGATACTATTGTGAATACTACAAAGTAACCAAAGTGCTCAACATCAAAAACTATAAATCTATTTTTTGTGTAATAATACAAATGACTTTAGTAGAGCATAGAACCATGGTTAAACGAAATGTTCTTACTATATTGAAAAACTCAATGTAGCAGAAAATGTATTTTGAATTTGTTGTAACACATTCATAATTCGAAATTGCATCTATATAAGCCTAATATTCTATCAAGAAAATAACTAATTTAAAAAATCTGAAAGTATTTTTATGTATGTACATCCTTTTCAGTGGAAAGCATTTGTGATTATAAGAAATGTGATTTTTAAAAATGAGTACATCAGTATTTGCATTTTCCCTTTTTACTAGTTAGCAATAAGATTTTAGAAATATTTGAAGACCACGCTGTATTTACTGCCTGCAGTTGTTCAGTGGGTCTGAGCTAGAGTGATGTCCTAGTTTTTAAAAACACATACATCCATCCTGACCATTTTCAGCAGTCCAAAAAGAAAAAAGATTACATTTTTTCTCAATCATTATTTTCATACTCCATCCAAGACACGATCAAATTGTTGGCTGAAATAGGCCCTTTCCTTGCCTGTCTCCCGCTTCTCAGAGACCAACACATAGCAAGGACCAACCAGCCAAGGAACATCTGTTTGTGACTGCTGTTCTTTTTTAGTTAGTAGATGTTTCATGTGGGTTGAAGCTGTGAATTCTTCCTCTTGATGTGCTCATGATTTCTGCACTTCAACTTGCGACCATAACACAACTTTGAACTATTACCGAAAGTCCTTTTGTGTGTGCGTGTGCCCAGTGTTAGAAAGTTACCTACCCTAAATTGGTGTGATATTGGTTTGGCTATACTTTAAGACTTTGTTAGTGGCACCAGCTTTCCATTTGATATTTAAAATGACTCCTAACTACAACTTAGCCAATTATTCAATTTAAAGAAAATGTTATTGAGACATGTTGAATCTCATAGTACAACGTTGCTTATTATCCAGGTCAGAGGACATTAGCTCCTTGCTGAGACTCCCTACTATATCTCTTGTTAAGAACTTGATGTAACAGATTAATTAATATATTTAAACTTTATGATAAAGTCAAAGTACTTTTTGAATGTTGACTAGTTTGAAGTGACCAGAATCTGTATTTCTCGTACCTTATATATATTTTTCCTTTAGGAAAATGCTATACTTAAGACCTATTTTTTTTCCTTTCTTGTATGTCTTGCTTGTATATACATTTATTTTGTTTTTTCCATTTTTTTCTCTCTCACTTCCCCCTGCTGTTCTTATTTTTTAAAGTATGTATCTGTTCAGACTGAAATGTGTTTTCTGAAACAGCTGGCATTTCAGAATTGCTTATTATTAACCCCATGAAAACAATGTGTGAAATCGTTTTTTATAAAAATTATTGCTAATACAACTTTATCCATAGACATATTGGGAAATATTTGATTGCAGTTGATTTAAGTCCAGTTCTTATTCTTTTCTGTGTAGTACTTCTCAAAATCTGAGGCCTCCAGAATTCACAGATTGAGGTTGGCACCATTTGCAGAGAGAAGCCTTCAGTAATGTGTAAGTAGTTTTTGTTTTTTATTTGTTTAAATTAAATATATTTTAAACAGTAAAATCTTAATTTATCAGAATTCTTAAGAATTTGGAATATATTTATCACATAACAATTTTGAGTAAAAAGTAGCACGGAATAACCTGAAAGAAGATGTCCAAAATCCTCGTTTGGGTCAGTATTAATTTAGCACTTTATTAGGGAGAAACTCCCTAATGGAAAGAATCCTGAATTAAGGGAATGGAATTCTTGCACAGGTTGTATTACCAACTATTTGGGTATCTTTAAATAGTTTACTTCTGTGCTGCTTTGGCTATAAAATGAGGGATTTGACTAGTTATGATTTATAATAAGATCTCTTCATCTGCAAATGCCTATTATTACATTCTTAATATTTTCTATAATCAAGGTTTAAAAATACTTCAAAAGAGACTTGTCAAACTACACATTTATGTTTTTTTTCTGTTGTTGGTGGTGGTGTTGCTTGAGGATAGATGTTGAGGTGACCACAAAATAGGTTAAGGGTAAAATGGATTTGCTTTCCTTAGGAAATCGTACCTAGATAGTACATCAATTGGAGTTACAAAACTTATTTGGGATGCAGAAAGCATCCAGAGCTTCCATCTGCTGGCTCATTTCCCAACTGCCAGTGATAGCCACAGCTAGGACAAGACTGAAGCCAGGAGCTAAACTGAATTCAGATTTCCCTTATGATGGCAGGGACCTAGCTACTTGAGCCATCAGCAATGCTTCCTCAGGTCTGCATTAGCACTAACCTGGAGACAGGAGCCAGGCACTCTGTGGGATGCAACATCTTATATTGTAGAACAAATGCCCACGCCAATAAAGCTTATATTCAAATACTTACTTTAAAAAAAGATTGTCTTGGACTTTTGAACCTCTTTAAAAAAATTCCAGTGTACTCTTAAATATGGTATTCAAATAAGTCTTCTTTCCTTTAAAAATCTCTATGGAATACTTATATGGAAGGATTGCCAATTTTTAAGGAGATGGGGAAAGAGAGAAGAAAGTTGTCTAACTTCTTGTGCATGAGACTTTTATGGAGAAACTGGTGTGGGTAATTTTGGGCAGGTTGAAGTCAAGCACCTGGAGTTGGAAGGATAATGGAAGAAAAGATGGTAACACACGGAATTAAAGTATGTAAAGCCGTGAGACAAGGTAGATAAACAAGAAACTCTTTGGCAGAAGCCGTTGCTTTTATCCTGGTTGTCATAAGTTTCTCATGTTTATTAAAAACTCGTTAAATAAATGAATCAATTACTTATTCTGTACATTTCTAATTTTGTTTAGGACCCTGCTTGTGGTGGTAATTGATTAATAGATTAAATACACTACTGTATCTGTATCAGCAGCTATAGAAAATGATTGAGAAACAGAAAAAAGACTTAATGTTTCATATTGTATACTTACTATAGATTATAAGTTGAACATTCAAATAACATGTATTTTTTAAAAAAGATTTATTTATTTATTTTATTGCAAAGTCATATATACAGAGAGGAGGAGAGACAGAGAGGAAGATCTTCCGTCCAATGATTCACTCCCCAAGTGAGCGCAACGGCCAGTACTGCGCTGATCCGAAACTGGGAACCAGGAACGCCTTCTGGGTCTCCACATGGGTGCAGGGTCCCAAACCTTTGGGCCATCCTCGACTGCTTTCCCAGGCTACAAGCAGGGAGCTGGATGGGAAGTGGAGCTGGCGGGATTAGAACCAGCGCCCATATGGGATCCCGGCATGTTCAAGGCGAGGACTTGAGCCGCTAGGCCACGCTGCCAGGCCCAATAACATGTATTTTTAAACTACTTGTCTACCATACTTTAAATATTATATAGGAAGGAAAAAAATGGGATACCAGTTAAATGTATATTTGTATTTGATGCAATATTACATAGTTTAGTATAATTGTGCATATTATAGCAGTTAGAAATGCTTATTAAATAAAATTATGAATATTTAAATTCTTTGTAGCCTTGCATGAGCATTTGAAGGATATTTTCTGTTCTCAAATACTGGATAGAAGATATAAACCTGATTTTTTTCTTGTGAGTGAGATTACTCTTTTACTTATTTAGTATAGTTCATAAAATTTAAATTAATGTGTACATTTAAAAACTGTACAGTTGATCTTAGCCAAAAGGCCAAGAAGTGATACATTTAAAATTTTACATCAAAGTCTTAAGAATAGCCAAGCCAATCTTTAAAATTTTTACTTACTGTGATATATTAAAATGCCGAGAGAGAGAATCTGCTGGTTCACTCTCCAAATAACTACAATATCCAGGATGGCCAGACCAAAGCCAGCAGCACAGGATTAATTCTGGACCTCCTATGTGGGTGACCGGGATCCATATGGTTGAACTATCAGTTACTGCCTATGAGGACGCACATTAGCACAAAGCTGGGATTGAAAGTGGAGCTTGAATTCAAATTCAAATCAGGCATTCTGATATAGGATTGGGCATCTTAGGCTGTGCCTGTCCCATACAGATTAAAGTTTTGAAAAATGAGATTGACTAGAAAGAGGAAATAGTATGTAGACAAAGTAGCAAAGAATAAAGTTGTTGGAGCAGGCCTGTAGGATGATAGCTTAACCAGTTAAGATGCTGGTTAAGCTATCTGCATCCCCTCTTGAAGTGCTTAGGCTGGATTCCCAGCTCTGGCTCCTAACTCCAGCTTCCTGCCAGTGTGGATGCTGGACTGCAGTTAACAGTGGCTCAAGCTGCTTGGTTCCTGCCATCCTGTCGGAGACTTGCAGTGTGCTCCCAGCTCCCGTGGCTCTCGCCCTGGTTGTTGTGAGCAACGGTGGAGTAAGCCCATAGAAGGGAGCTTGCTTGCTTGTTTTTTCTTTCTCTCTGCCTCTCAAAAAATTTTTTTTAAAAGTTGTAAGAATACTAAATAAATAAATAACAACAACACAAAAGCAAAGTTGTTTGAAGGACAATAGATTAGATGATTGATTGGAAGAAAGATAACAGATAAAAATTAGAAAAATAAACGTCTCCTGTTTTGATAGAAAAATAGGTTAGAATAACTGGGGAATTAGTTGTTTTTGTTTTTGTTTGTTTGTTTGTTTGTTTGTTTTTTAAAGCAGAGACATCTTTTGAAGAGAGCTGGGTTAAGAAACTGGTCCATTGTGTTACTGACATTTTTACATATCTGAGTTTGGAACTATCACATCCTGTCTGAAAGGCTTCTTTTTCTTGCCATATTTGAATTTTTATAATAAATTCATTTTATTTTTGGATAATGTTTACATAGCTGATAGGTATGCATGCCCATGTGAACCATTGATTAGAGTGGGGAGGATTGTGGGATAGGGCAAAGTGGATGAAGCAACTGCCTCTAATCTCCATTTTTCTTCCTACATTTGTAAAAAATGGGGAGGAAAGAAGAGGAGAGGGCCACTCCCAGCAGCCCAACTGCATCAGTAACCATGAATGGGGGATGGACATCTGATCCCAGCAATCCCAGGATGCAACATGTTCTGATGATGCCAGCTCAGGGGTTTTCAGTAGTTCTGAGATGCTGTTGATTTTATTGCTGCAAAGCTGAGGAAATCCTTCCAAGGTTCATTGTCCATTTTAGAGTCTTCATTTGCCCAGTTACTGGCTGTTAAAACTTGGCTGGGAGAGCTGTCCAATTTGTTCTGCCCTTCATGATACTAGACGTCCTCTGCAGGAGGACCTCAGTGAACTGGTTGTCATGCCCACCCCCACACCCATGTGCATCTGGGCATGCTGTTCTCTGCATCTTCAGCAACCGAGGCAGCCTAGTTCTGACACATGCACTCCACAGTCAGACCTGAGATCCTGCGATTTCACTGTGGTTGGAGTTCTGAGTCCAGTGATCCAGTGGGATGAGGGGGAGGACCTCCAAAGAAACCTTGCCTGAGGTGATCCCAACCTGACTCCTGTGTGTGCCAGCCAGTGCGGGGTCTGGTTCAGTCAATTACCCACATCAGCCTACACACACTATTAGCTGCAGTTACCTGGTCAGTTCTATCTCTAGTTGCATTTCATACACAAACTAATGGGTGCTGCAGCGCAGCCCAAACCTGCCTATCCATGCTCAGCCCTCACACACACCAGTGGGAACTTCAACCTGGTCAGATTGATCCCCAATAGCTCCCACCAGGTCCATGCCCAGTCCTGGTTCTTGTGCTCACTAGTGGGAGCTACAGCCCATCCGAGGGGTGCCCACAGTTTCTTCACTAGGCAATCCCACAACCTCCAGGTGGTTCTACTGTCTAGCCTGACAGGACTTGCCCCAGTCCCAGCATCTGCCAGCTAATGCTATGGCAAAGCCCAACCAGCCTGCATTTACCCTGGCTCATGCATGCATCAGCGGACACAATCGCTTAGCCCAGCCTGGTATCCCCCTAACCCAGCCCACAATGCAGGCCAACAGGCTTTGTAGCCCTGCCTAGCCTGGTCCACCCTAAGTCCCAGCTCTCACACTCACCAGTGTGAGCAGTGGTCCAACAGGGGAACCCCCATAGCTCCTCTGTTGGGTTCACTGCCTATCCTGGATCTTACGTGTGCTGTTGGGTGTTGTGGCCTAGTCTGGCATAGCTTGTCTCACCTCAGCATTCACCAGCAGATGCTGCAGCCTGGCTTGGCCCAGTCTACCCTCAGTTCCAGCTCATGCCTGGTGGGTGCTGCAGCCTAGCCCAACTCAACCAGCCCCCTAGTCCGGGCCCTGAGCTGGCTGGTACTGTGGCCCAACCTAACCTGTCTTGCATCCTATCTGCTTCTCACATCTGCCAGTGAGTGCTGTGAACTGATCCAGTCTGGCCTATCTCTAGACCTGACCCACACATATGCCAGCTGATACCATAACCTGGCTTGGTCTGGGCTGCTCCCATCCTTGATTCTTGGGCTCAACTGCAGGGACTGTTTCCTGACAGAGGAGTTTGGTAAGCTTTTGTTACCTATCATTTCAGTAATAATTAATAATTATGTAAAATTTTTATATTTGGAAATTTTGCTTTTCATATATTTTTAAAACGTTTCGTCTAGGGCCCAGTGTTGTGATGTAGTGGGTAAAATTAATGCCTGCGTTGCCAACATCATGCATGGGTGCTGGTTACTGTTCCAGCTGCTCCATTTCCAATCCAGCTCTTTGATGATGGCCTGGGAAAAACAGCAGAAGATGGCTAAAGTGTTTGGGCTCCTGTCACCTACATATAATATGCAGGCGAAGCTCTTGGCTCCTGGCTTCAGTCTGTCCCAGCCTTGGCAGTTGTCATGAGATGAGGAGTGAATGAATCAGTGTCTGTCTTTCTGTCTGTAACTTTGATTTTCAAATAAATAAGTAAATCTTTCTCATTTTTAAAAAGATTTATTTGTTTTTACTGGAAAGGCAGATTTACAGAAAGAGGGAGAGGCAAGAAAAAGATCTTCCATTCACTGCTTCACTGCCCTAATGGCCACAATGGCAGGAGCTGAGCTGATCCAAATGATGTCAGGAACCAGGAGCTTCTTCTGGGTCTTCCACATGGATACAGGTGCCCAAGGACTTGGGCCATCCTCTGCTGCTTTCCTGGGCCACAAGCAGGGAGCTGAATAGGAAGTGTAGTGTGAACCGGTACCCAGATGGGATGCCAGTGCTTGACGGTAGATTAGCCAGTTGAGCCATCATGCTGGCTACAATAGATGAATCATTAAATTTTTTTTTCTCTGATTGTTCCCTTTGTATTTTTCTTGTCTTTAGAGTTATTCACTTGGATAGTGAATGCTTAAATGCAATGATCTAATGGAGTAATACAAGAAATTTTTTTTTAAAAAGTCTTGATTATGCAGGGACTCAAAGGGAGGAAAGGCAGTCTCTGTTAATTGCTGAATGAGAAGGAAGTGTTTTGTAATGACTCCTGAATTCAGTTCTCGTGAACCTTTTAGGAATAGAGAGAATATCATCCTTATTTTCTGTTTTCTGTGCAAATACATGTAGTTTAAAGTAAAAGATGAGCCATACAGGTATCTGACATTTTTAAATAACTGCATGAATTTTTGTATTTTATGAACTAACTTGTTATCTATCCATGTTGAACAAAGAATTGCAAAACACTCTTTGCTTAATGGTACAGAATTGTTGTTGCTTCAGCTTGAATAAAGCTATGTCAGATTTTCATATTACTGTGATTATTTAGAGTAATTTTGGATTAAATGTATGATTGTTTGGTCTTCAATCTCAAAAAAAGAATTTATGGAAATTTACCACCTAGTTGTTCAGGGTTTTGCTGTGATGTTCCCTATTAAAGCCTGTTTTTTCTGTCATTGGGAATGCCGTCTTGATGTTCTCTTTCCAAGTAATTTATGTTGGCTCTCACCAACACAAGACATTTTGCTTTAATTTATATTTATTATTTTCCTTTAGTATTGCACATTTCACATTCCAAAATAAATCACTTGGCTCCATGGAGCTATTGTGAAGTACTGATTATTTGTTTATGTATTAAAGACTTCAATATTCTCTTTGCTTATATTTTTTAGTAGTGTCTTCCTTCTAATTTTTAAACCATACCTCACTTTAAATGTAGTTGATTTAAAATTAGAAATAGAGGCACATGTAAGTAATATACAATCTTCCTGAAAGAATTTAAGGGCACTTAGAGCTTTCAGATGGATTTTTGTCACCTGAATTGTTGCCATCTTAGTTCAAAATTGTATACTTTGTCATCTGTGCTTTAAAATATTTGCCTACCTTCTCATCCTGTCCAAGCTCCAAATGAATAAGTAGAAAACAGTAACAAGGCCAGGGAAATTGAATGATTTATCATTTACTGCCCTGTCAATAAATGTAAGAGGGTTTTATCACCACCTTATAATTTATTGTTCTTTTATTTATTAAGAACAACACCTTATTTTCTTTTAGCAATTATGTACTGTATTACATCAGGAATGAGACAACATTTAAAATTTGTAAACCAGGAAGATCTAATAAAAAGGAACTTTCCAAACAAATTTGTTCCCAATATTTGCTTAGCAGTTTTTCCAAAGAGTAAAGAATTAATTTTAAAAAGTTATTAGATAGATATACTTTCAAGATAGCACTGTTTCTCATTTATTTTCCTTCTTATTACATAACAAGGTATCATACTCAATTGTATGCAGTAGTGATTATAATGTTCGAATTAGTTACTTAACCGAAAGGTTTTTTTATTTAGTTGGAAAGGCAGACAAAAAAATCTAACATCACTGGTTCACTTACTAAATTAATACAGAGACAGGTGGGGCTGCACCAGTCTGAAGCCAGGAGCCAGGAATGTAATCCAGTAACGTGTCAGGAACCCATCACATATCACCTCGTAGGTGTGTGTCAACAGGAAGCTGGAATTGAAGGAGCCTGGCTGGGACTCAAGCCTAGTCATTTTGATATGGGATGAGTGTATCCCAAGCAGGATCTTAAGCATTAAACCAGTTGCCCACCCTTATTCTTTAGTTTTAAATAAGATCAAGTTAGAATCTAGACAATGGAAGATGTTTTCATCTCTCTTTTTTTTTTTTATGATGAAAGGAAAGTGCTTTTCCAATGTAATGTTTAAGCCTAGCTTTTATTAAGAGACAATACTTCAAAATTCGTGGAAACAAATACTTAAAAAGACTGAGGTGACTTTTGGCCTAATCATTTCACTTTCATGATTTTATGCTGAAGAAGTAACTACATGTTGTAACTAAGGGTTTATGTTCAAGGGTTTACATTGTAGCATTTAAGATTATTAGCAAAATAAATAGAAATAATAATTGATCAATAGTAAGCAAGTAGTTACATCAATAATAACATATCCATCAAATAAAATACAAATCAACCTAAAAATATTATTTTCAAATACTAATGAAATGGAGGGCAAAAGCTAAATATAAAGTGCTTTTCAAATTACCCTACTTTTAAATTAATTAACATCGTCAACTAAGTAAAGCTAGTTTTTTGTGTGTGTGGAGCACATGTTATATGTAGGCTGCTAAGAGTGATGACTCAGTATTTGCTAGTCTTCTCAGGGGAACAGGTTATTACCTTTTTAAAACTGTCAGGCTGGGAGGCATTTCTGAAAAGTTGGCATGTTTTATTATATGCAGGAGTCTTACTTGTAAGGGAATTGCTGCAGAGGAGCCATATACAGCTGCATAAAATTGATAGGAACATTTAATCCTTCTTTAGGCTTGTTTGCTAAGCAAACAACGGTACTATTTACAAAGACTATTTGAGCAGTGAATATAGATTCCAAGAAAAATGTGACGTGAATTATGAAAACTCATGATGTGAGCAATACAGAAAATTCAGTGAGATTGGGGATTATAATGAAAAATATTATAACTTTCTAATAAGTAAGTTCTCTATAAGAATCTCTTTACAGTCTGTAAGGGGAAGTTTACTTAAAGCTAGTATTTTCCTAAACAGTCTACGGATCTTTTTTAGTTGAATATTATTAAAATAGGCTTGGAAAAGTCTGAATTAAGTATAAATGCTAATCAGCTAACTATCAAAAGACTGCTATGACTTTATTTATTCATTTTATTTGTATGTTGTAAATATACAAAAAATACAGATATATAATTAATGTTTTTGTTCATGAAACCTTTTGTTTATATTTATTGGAATTGGTTCTAATATGAAAAGCTAGGAAACTCTTACATTTACTGTTCTTCCTTTAATAATGGTGTATAAGTAAGGAGACTATTGTGGAGTATATTCTTAGTTAAAAAAATAAAGTTTCAGTGATACTAGGCAACTGAAAGGGATTTTACTATCAAAATGTTTGCAAATACAAAGATTGCACTTTGTGTATCTCTGAGTTTGTTTCAAAGCATGCATTATTGCTATCTTTCAACATTTATTATTTGAGACTCTTCTGTTGTAGATTCTAAGTGTTATTCATAGTGGATTTTTCCATGTGTTTTGGGGGTTCTGGAATAGTAGCTGTCTCCATCTGGGCTTTATCTCCAGGCTGACATTTCACCCTCTAGAGCTAGTTTGCATTGGTTTCCCCAAGTGTATGACTACACGTGGGAACACTTTCAATATTAATTTCTCTGCTGAAACTTCTTAGGACCATAGGGTGACTTAAGCTCAACACCCAAATCTAAGAGTGAGTGGCCCTATTGTAAATGAACTCTCAGAGGAGATCTTTCCTCCACCTTGTAAATACCCTATGTTCAGATTGGGGCTAACGTTGTTATCTCTCTGTGCCAGTGGATTTTGAAAATCTCTCTAGCTAGAGAATAGTCATTTGAAGCTCTTGCCTTTATTTAGGTGACTCAGTTCTAAATCCCTGTTTTAGATGGTCCCAAACCTTATTTCCTGTCTCTGAAATGCCTTCTAAAACATAAACCCTTGATTACTGAGATCAGCAAATTTTTCCACCAAGTATTGACTTAAAGACTACATCCTGGTTTTTGGATTCCTCAATGTTATAAAGCCCTGGGAATTTCCCTTACAGTCTTCTAAATTAATCTTTACACTTAAAAGGTTTTTAAAGTTGACTATTTAGGTAACCTAAGATTCCATGCTGCCAAAATTATAAATACATGCATCATTTTTACAACAAAAGCAATAATGCTAAAGATAGTTCTATTTTTTAAAAGGATGCTTTTTATGTATGAAATAAAAAAACACTACTGGTTTATTATGGAAGTAGCACTCTTTATAGTTTTGTTGTTATTGTTCTTATCTGTCTGACAATCACTTATATTTATTTGAGTTACTATAGAATACTGGTCTTTTATTATATTTTTAGATGGAATCTACTGTAATGGAAGATGATTGAAGACAAGGGACCTCGCGTTGCTGACTACTTTGTTGTGGCAGGATTAACTGATGTTTCAAAGCCTCTTGAGGAAGAAATTCACTTCAATGATGCCTGTCATAAAGTAGCTAAACCGAAAGAACCCATCACAGATGTTTCTGTTATTATTAAATCCCTTGGGGAGGAAGTGCCACGGGATTACATGTGTATTGATGTCACCCCAACTGGACTGTCAGCTGATCTCAATAATGGAAGTCTTGTGGGGCCACAGATTTACCTCTGCTATAGAAGAGGAAGAGATAAGCCTCCACTTACAGATCTAGGGTAAGATACGGTGTTTTAAATTTGTATTTTATTTGAAAGGCACACACACCGCAGAGGTCTCTCTCTCTCTCTGGTTCACTCCTCACGTGTCTGCAACAGCCACGGCTGAGTCAGGCTAAAGCCAAAGCCTGTAATTCAAACTAGGATTCCAACATGGGTGGCTAGGACCCAAAAACTTGAACCCCCAGACTGCTGGCTCCTGGAGTGTATGTTAGTAAGAAGAAGCCTTGCAGCCAGGTCTTAAACCCAGGTGTTCAAATTTGAGACACAGCCATCAGAAGCAATATTGTTATGCCACATGCTTCCCCCATGTTTTTTTGAAATTATTATTGTTATTCTTCCAAATAATGTGCTTTGTAGGTTTTGAAGTTAGCTGTTCATCTAGTTCATTAGTAGAGATGTGGCAACTTCAGGAAAATAGATTTATATCTGGAATTCTGTTTCTCTTCCTGAACAGCTTTTACCTCTGTTCTACAACTTATCAGCATTCAAATCTTGCATGGGTTTCTTTTGATGCAGGGGAAAAAAATTGAAAATCACTTACAGAAAAATATCAAAATATTAATGCTGAGACTTCTATATGTTTTATCAGAGTACGTAGGTTTGAGTCCCAACTCTGCTTTTGAGTTTAGCTTCCTGCTAAGGTGCAAACTGAGAGAAAGCAAATGATTCAAGAAGTTAACTTCCTGTCCTTTATAATGGGAGACCTGCATTGAATTCCTGACTATTTGCTGCAGCATGGTTCAGCCCTGGCTGTTGCAGGCATTTAGGGGGCAAAGCAGCAGACACGGGGTGTTCTGTCTCTCTGCCTTTGTCACTCTGTGTCTCTCAAATAAGTAAAATATCTAAAGTTATATTACAAATTATTAGAACAATTTCCATTGTTCCATTGAAAACTTGCTTATTATAACAACTTCTATAGAAAATTCAGGCATGTTTGGTATAGTAGAGCTTTAAAATTGCTTTGTGATGAATGGCGAAGACTTTATGTACAAATCAGTTCTATGAAGGAAAAATGTAGTATTATTCAAACAGAATATTTTCTTGGCATCCTCAAATGCTTTTAAATATGACATTTAGGAGACTTTAAAAACATTTATTTGAAAGTCATAATTACAAAGAGAACACCCGTAAATGTCTTCCATTCTCTGGTTTACTCTCCTAATGGCCACAGTGGTGGGGCTGGGCCAAGCCAAAGCCGGGAGCTTCTTCTGTATGTTCCATGTGGGTGACAGAGGCTCAAGTCCTTGGCCCATCCCCCTCTGCCATCAGCAGGGAGCTTGATCAAACGTGGAGCATTTGGAACATAAGGTGGCACCCATTTGAGATGCTGATGTTGCAGTTAACAGCTTTACCCGTATGACACAGTACCAACCCCAATATTTAGAAGACTTAAATAATTCAGTAACCTTTCACCCAGATTTTTGGTTAAAGATAGATTTAAAGTTATATTCTTTTTGTGAAATCATTCTTAAAGGTGAGGGAAGTACTGAAAATGGAAGTAAACATATATGTTCTAGGTTTTCGCTGAAGTAATATTTTATTTAAAACAATTGAAAATATTTATTTATTTATTTTGAAAATCAGAGAAAGGGAGAGACTGTGAGATCTTCCATCCATTGGTTTATTTCCAGATGGTCAGCAGTGGGGCCAGGCTAAAGACAGGATGCTGGAGCTGCTTCCTGGTCTCTCACAGGGGCCCACGCACTTGGGTCATGTTCCAGTGCTCTTCCCAGGCTATTAGTATGGAGATGGATGAACGTGGAGCAGCTGGGACACGAATCAGCACAGCCATATGGATGTCAGTGTCACAGGGGGCAGCACAAAGACTTACCTGAACTTCTCGTTACATTATGCAATTCGAGCTTATAATAGGAAATATTTTTATCATGTGACAACATTTAAGGATCAGTTCACACTTCCTGGAAATATTACTTTTCACATTTGAGGGTGCCTTGGGTATTTGTATATTAATTTTTAAATTTGTTTTTTAGGGTTTTATATGACTGGAAAGAAAGATTGAAACAGGGCTGTGAAATTATTCAGAGTACTCCCTATGGGCGCCCTGCAAATATTAGTGGCAGTACGTCATCACAAAGAATTTATATCACTTACCGACGAGCCTCGGAAAACATGACTCAGAATACGTTGGCTGTCACAGACATATGTATTATTATACCCAGTAAAGGAGAAAGCCCACCACATACATTCTGCAAAGTTGACAAGAATCTCAATAACAGTATGGTAAGTGATTTTTCTAATGACAAAATTAACCACTAATGAAAAGAGCATATTTTAAAATAAATTTTATGTAAACATCGTATTTGCAGAATTAAATATGTTTTTAAAGAAGTGAGATATTTTATTTTTTTAGCAATTCATTTACTTGTATTTTCATGGATATATGGAAGTCTTTTTTTCCCCTTTTTAATTAAAAATTTTTTTTTCTCTAACTTCAGAAGTGCATTAACTGTGGCTCCCTTTTGTCTGTGTAGATCCCATACAAAAAGCATCATTTGATGACATGGTTTCAAGTCTCCCTACATTTTTTTCTTGAAACTTCAGATTTTCTTTCTCTATCACAGTATTTCCTCCAGCATGTGGCATATGTCATAAGATCTCCCACCTTTACCAAACTTCCTGATTCTATACTTTTTCCTCCTATCGACACATTTCATTGTCTTTGTGGTAAAACTTGTTAAGCGTTTTAGTGTATTTGATCCTGTTCCTCACTTTGACTCATGATTCAGGCTTTTGGGTTCATGGATTCCACCAAGACTCCTCATATTATTGAATCCACTGATCAAGTCTTCACCTTTATATTTCAGCTGATTTTGACATGAGTGATTATCTCTTCCCCCTTAAAACAGTAGAAGGAAAAGAGGATGTGTGTAGGTTCTTCAAAAATTTCACAGTTCATAGAAAAATAGAATTAAAAAGTAAATTATTTTCAGTGTAAAATTATTTTGAAATCCATGGACAGTTTTTTATAGCAGTTTCCATGAACTTTCTGAAGTTTGTTCACGTGTTTGGATTTCCAGATTTCTTATATCAAAATGGACTTACCTCTTAGTAGCGTTTTCCACAGACTTTCTGAATACCTTGTCCCCCTTTTCTTCCTACCTCATCATTCATTTCCTTGCTGTATTTGCTGATTGCGTCTTGTCTCCCTAAGTTCTATACAACAGAGGTTCAGTGCTCAGACCATTTATCTTCACCATCTAAATTGTGTGTTAGACATCTAATCATGATGTGTTGATGACTGTTCAATTTGTATGCCTAGTCTGGACCTAATTCATCTTTTCTTGGATATCTTATGTAATAGCATATCACCCATACTCTAAATGTACTCTCCAAACCAACCTGCTTGTCTCCACAGCCTTTCTCATCCAATAAATGGACATTCCACCTCTGTAGTTATTCAGACTGATCACCTTGGAGCTATTTCAAACTTTCTTTGTGTTTCTCATTCATCTTTTCTCTAAACTCTATTGATTCTTTTTATTTATTTATTTTATAGATTTATTTTTATAGATTTATTTATTTTTATTGGAAAGGAAGATTTACAGAGAGGAAGAGAGACAGAGAAAAGACCTTCTGTCTGCTGATTCACTCCCCAAGTGGCCACAACAGCTGGAGCTGAACTCATCCAAAGCCAGGAGTACCCCCTCAGGGACTGCCATGTCAGTGCAGGGTCCCACATGGGAAGCGAGGCATCTGGGATACAAATTGGCTTCTATATGGGATTCCCGTGGGTGCAAGGCAAGGATTTAACCACTAGTTACCGCACCAGACCTCATTTTGTTGATCCTAACTTTAATAGATATCCAACCCCATAATTACCACAACCCTTTGTGCAAGCCACAGTCATCATCTCTTTTTAAAAATTAAATGTAAATAATTTAAAAATTAAAAACAAATTGTTGATCTGAAAAGTAGACTGTATCTTTTGCTAGAGTAGCAAAGAACAATTTTGTTCCTTTCGACACTTTTGTGTGTATATATATATATATATATATAATAAATTCATCCTTTTTATGATTAAAAATGTCTATGTATTCTGATGTAAGCTTTATTTTCACTGCCCATCTTTTGCAGTTCATATAACTTATTTCATTGACTTTACATCCAGTTTTTCTTATTGCTAAAAATGCTGATTTAATCCATCCTATGTCATCTTCTTTGACTACTTAATGAGATGGCTGGAATAGAGTAAATCATTGAAAAAAATCATAGGTTCAGGGTGGCATTGTTGTACAGTGGGTACAGTTGCCGTCTAAAACACAGACATCCCATATAGGAGCTGGTTTGAGTCACAGCTGCTCCACTTCTAATCTGGGGGAAAGCAGCAGGAAACAGCCCTCCTGGGTGAGCCTCTGCCACCCATGTAGGACACCTGGAAGACCATTTCTGACTCCTGGCTTCGGATCAGCTCAGCTTCAGCTGTCACAGCCATTTGGAGAGTGAACAAGTGTATGGACGATCTCTCTCTCTCTGTCTTTCCTTCTCTCTGTGACTCTGCCTCTCAAATAAAAATAAAATACATCTTTTAAAAAATGATCAACTAGTTTAAAAAGTAGATAGTTACACTATCTAAATCGCATCCTAACTGTATATCTGCAGCTACATGATACCTAATTAGATGGTCTTTTTTTTTTTTTTCTAAAGTGTTATTTTTTTGAGAGACGGGAGAACAAGTGAGCAAGCAAGAGAGAGCTCCTTTTTGCTGGCTCACTCTTCAAATGCCTTCAGGGGCCCTGCTTTCCAGCAGGGAATGGAAGGAAATTGGAACAGCTGGGTCTTGATCTCGTGCCCATATGGAATGCTGGTTCTGCAGCCAGAGATTTACCCTGCTACACCCTTGGGTCTCCATAGCTCTTTTTTCTATGAAGCCTCATAACTTTTGTTGTTATTTCTCAGTACTTTTCATTTTAGAATGCTTCTTTCAGCTCTACCATGGAATTCTGTTTATACTATCGCAAAAGTTACTGAAAATTTTTTTTATCTTAGAAAATTGGACTTAGTAGAGATTGGGGTTGAAACTCTCTCTTAAACAAAAAAAAAAAAAAAAGAAGATTTATTTATTTATTTGAAAGGCAGAGCTACAGAGAAAGAGAATCAACAGCCAGGCTGAGCCAGACCAAAGCTTGGAGCTGGGAGCTTCCTCCAGGTCTCCCAACGCGAATGGAGAGGCTCAAGGCTTTCGACTGTCTTTTGCTGCTTTCTAGAGCAAGTTAGCAAGGAGCTGGATTAGAAGAAGAACAGCCAGGCTTTCCTACTACACCACTATGTCAGCTTCAAAATTTTCAGCTTCAGTCTCTTATTTTATATTTAACCATTGGGTAAACCAGAACTCCAGTTTGCCTACATCATAAAGTCTACTTGACTTTTATATATTTACTTGACTTTTAAAATGTGTATCTTCAGCAGATTAGTATGCTGAATCTTCCTTTGGATATTAAGTTATTTTCATTACTATGTTGAATTTCTTTTTACTGTTTTAGCATTTTTGCATCCAATGAAAATTTCCTGAAAGTATAATCTCAACTTTGACATAAACCATTAAACTATCTTAAAATAAAAGCTCAAAGACTTTTGATTGTTGTTTTGGTCTAATATTCGCAGGTACCCAAACATATTCATTTCTGTGTACCATGCCATTTAAATAAGAGAGTTGAAATATTATTCCATTTCATTTTAATTTTATCATGTTATAGAATTAATTTTTCAGTTTGAAAGACATATTCAAAAGACTTGCAGATATCTAGAGTTGAAAATGAACAATTTGTTAGATTTTTAAATCTTCAGGAGACATTATTTTTTCTTTTTAAGATTTATTTTATTTCGGCCTGGTGCAATAGCATAGCGGTTTAAGTCCTCCCCTTAAACACACTGGGATCCCGTATGGGCGCTGGCTCTAATCCTGGCGGCTCCACTTCCCATCCAGCTCCCTGCCTGTGGCCTGGGAAAGCAGTCGAGGACAGCCCAAAGCCTTGGGACCCTGCACCCGTGTGGGAGACCCAGAAGAGGCTCCTAGTTCCTGGCTTCAGATTGGCTCAGCTCCAGCCGTTGCGGCCACTTGGGGAGTGATCCATCGGATGGAAGATCTTCCTCTCTGTCTCTCCTCCCCTATATATATCTGACTTTGTAATAAAAATAAATAAATCTTTATAAGAAAAAGATTTATTGTATTTATTTGCAAAGCAGCATGGCAGAAAGTGAAAGATCTTTCATCACTTGTTCATTCCACAAGTGGCCACAATAGCAGGGGTTGAGCCAGGCTGAGGCCAGATTCCCGGAACTACTGGGTCTCCTGCACAGATGGCCCGGACACAGTTACTTTAGCCTTGGTCCACTGCTTTTCCAGGTACATTATTAGGAAGAAGAATCGAGAACAAAGCAGCCAGAACTCTGCTACGGAATGTTAGCGTTCATAGCAGTCACTTAACCCTCTGCACCACAATGCTGGCCCCAAATTATCTTTTCTTTCTTTCTTTTTTTGAAGATTTATTTATTTTTATTGGAAAGTCAGATATACAGAGAGGAGGAGAGACAGAAAGGAAGATCTGCCTGCTGATTCACTCTCCAAGTAGCCACAACGGCTGGAGCTGAGTTGATCCAAACCCAGGAGCCAGGAGTTTCTTCTGGGTCTTCCACGCAGGTGCAGGGTCCCAAGGCTTTGGGCCATGCTTGAGTGCTTTCCCAGGCCACAGGCAGTGGCCACTGGGACACAAACTGGCATCCATGTGGAATCCTGGCACATGCAAGGCAAAGACTTGGGCCACTAGGCTATCACCACAGTCCCCAGATTATCTTTGGTAAAAGGTTTTTTAAATGATTATATAGTTCTAACTTTTGTAGCTTCTCAGATTGTTGGTCTTCAGATTTTTAAGTATACTTTATTGAACATGTGCCTTATATATCAAAGGAGCCACAGTAAGAAATCAATTCAAGTATTGTGTTATTACTGCCATTTTCACAAAACCTGTCTTACTCCTTACCTTATAATGATTACTTGTCACCTGATCTCTTTCACATATATAATGTGTCACTTATTCAGAGATGACTTTTGTAGGTTGAATTCTCATTCAGTTTTTGAAAGAACATGAGAAACAAGCAAAAAAAATGGCTTTGGAACATTCAATGTGGGTTAAAAAATTCATACACTAAGAGCTTGTGGTTTATAATCCCTCAGACCCACTTCTTTAGTTCACTTATAAGTGGTGCATATTAAAAAGAATATT